ACCCATGGGAACACACATCTTGAAGAACAGACGTTACTGCATAAGGTGAGTAACTCTCTCTTATTCCACTGTCGCTTGAGACCTTATCATCCCTGCTGGTTTGCTATAACAACAGACCGGTGGGTTAGAGAGATCGTTATATCCAGCATCACCATTCCTTTTTCCAGTCAGCCCCCTCCCACCCCTCCTTCCCCGTCCCTTTTCAGGAACCCCTCTCATGAACCTTTGCTGTGGCAGGAGGTCGCACATCTATTGACCAGCGGAGCGGTGGAGAGTGTTCCATACAAATTCAGAGGCAGAGGCTTCTATTCTCGGTACTTCCTCACACAAAAGAAGTCCAGAGGATGGAGGCCTATCCTAGATCTCCGCAAACTCAATCGTCATCTACGAAAACAAAAATTCAACATGGTTACTTTAGCCTCTGTCATTCCAGCACTGACTGAAGGGGACGGGTTCGTGTCCCTCGACTTTCATTACGCATATTTCCTCATGTCTGTGCCCACAGGAGGTTCCTCCATTTCACACTGGGTGAAGATCATTATCAGTACACAGTGCTTCCGTTCGGCATTTCAGCAGCGCCAAGAGTGTTCTCCAAAATCCTAGCCATCATAGCTGCCCACTTCCAGCATTCCGGCATCACAATTTTTCCTTATCTGGATGACTGTCTATTGAAAGCCCCTACAGCAGACGGGGTGCAAGCTGCAGTCAATACAACCAGGGACACATTCGAGGCTCTAGGCCTCATCATCAACATACCAAAGTCTTCTTTGATCCCATCCCAGTCTCTCGAGTTCTTTGGGGGCGAGACGAGTCCAAGATCGCTACTGTGTACCTCCCAATCGACAGATCCCAGATTATCCAGGACTTAGTATATATCCTGCTCACCGCTCCCAAAAATGTACATGCCTGAAGCTCTTGGGACACATGGGCGGCCACCACGTATGTCGTCCCTCATGCACAACTTCATTTGAGATGCCTTCAGCATTGGGTGCTCACAATCTACAAGCCAGGCACCGACAATACCCACAAACTTGTGGTTGTCCCCAGTCAAGTGAGAGACTCCCTGGTATGGTGGCTCGATCCGAGCAATACGTTAGCGGGCATCCCCTTTCATGCTCAGGCTCCATCCGTCCAGATCACTACGGATGCTTCCGGTTGGGGAGCACATATGCAATAGCACCAGGTCCAGGGGCTATGGTCACATCACGAGTCCCTCCTCCACATAAACTTTCTGGATTTACGGGCAGTGTTTAACGCCTGCAGGCATTTCCTCCGCGGGATCCATGGAACCATGGTACAGATTCTTACTGACAACATCTGCACGGTTTACTATATCAGTCGGGAGGGGGGTGCCAGATCCTGATCCCTCTGTGCAGAGTCCATTTGACTTTGGAATTGGGCTGTCTGCCACGGAATTATACTCACGGTGGCATATCTCCCAGGCAAGAGCAATACCATTGCCGATGCTCTGAGCAGAACCTTTCATTTGCAGCACGAATGGGAACTGCTTGACGAAGTAGCCCGCAGCCTTTTTGAGACCTGGGGTTACCCCGACACGGACCTTTTTGCTACTCGACACAAAGAGAAGTGCTGCCTTTACTGCTCGAGGGCAGGCATAGGGAGCGCCTCTCAAGGGGATGCTTTCCTCCTTAATTGGGGGACGCACCAACTCCTGTACGCCTAACCCTCCAATCACGCTTATACCACATGTGATAGGGAAGATAGTCGCGGATGGGGCGACAGTGATAATGGTAATGCTTTTTTGGCCCTGACAGACTTGGTTGAGCCAACTGATGCAGATGTCCTTATCCCAACCTCGGCGACTGTCACAGTTGCACAATTTAGTCTTACAACAGCATGGCACGCTCCTTCACCCAAACATCGATTGACCGCATCTCACGGCTTGGTTCCTAACTGGCTCCAAGGCCCGTAGTTAGCATCCTTTCAGGCAGTTAAGGACGTCCTGATACACAGTAGGCATCAAACCACCCAGAAGTCCTACCTTTATAAATGGCATCGCTTCCAGTCCTGGTGAGAGACAAACAATACTGATCTCTTCTCTGTGCCCATCCAGCACATTCTGGATTACATTCAGCACTCAGCCAGCAGACCCTGCACCTGGCACGGCTCGAGCCAGCCACCCGCTGCCACCCAGCCCTCC